AGTAGGTCTGCTGTGGCTTGTGGATTCAAGGATAGTCTGTGGTTTTCGTGTTGGAAGTTTGGAAAAAGACAAAGCAGTCTGGATATGAAAGCTCGTCCTTGAAGGATGATGCGCATGGCGAAGTGTAAGGAACCTATAAGGGACTGGAGTTCCTTTCGATTGCAGGTACCCAGGGAAATGTAGTGATTGATGCTGTTGATAATGTTGTCAATTTTTTTGTGTGGTAGGCTTGCTTGCATGGATGCAGAGTCGAGTTGTATGCCCAGGAATGTAATGATGGTGTCTGGACCTTCAGTTTTCTTGAGGGATACTGGGACGCCCAAGTGGTTGAATAGATTAATGGCTTCTTTAAGACTACTGGGGGGAAGTGAGTTCCCTTCTATCATTAGAAAATCGTCGAGGTAATGGATGACTATGGGGCATCTTGAAATGTTTTGTAGTAACCAGCAAAGTGTTTCAGCAAAAGTGTCAAAAATCTTTGGGCTACTTTTCGACCTGAAGGTTAAGCGGGAGAAGAAATAGTATTTTCCTGCCCATTTTATACCATGTAGGTGCCATAGTGTAGGGTGGATTGGTAGCAGTTTGAAGGCATTTGTAATGTCCGTCTTACTTAACCAAGCTCCCACACCCGTTTGTGTGATGGCTGTAATGGCGTGATCAGTGGTGGCGTATTCGGAGGGAATGAGGGAGTTGAGACTTGGTGTGGTGGAGGTATGAGGTATGAAGATCAATAATGAGTCTTTGTTTGAGGGAAGTTTTCCCTGTGACCGTCCCGATGGGGTTTGTACGCCATGATGTAAATGGTGGGGTTGCGAACGGTCCAAACAAATACCCTTCTGCCAATTCTTGTGCTATTAGTGTATTTACTGCTGTTGGGTTCTGGTTTGCAGATTGTAAATTTGGGCATTCTAATTGGACCGTGGGCATCTGTATGATGCCTGTGTGGAACCCGTCTTTGAATCCCGTGATCAGAAACTCTACCAGATGTCTGGAGGGGTGATTGGCTAGTAGTGCTGCTAGAACATCAATGTTAACAGAAGTTAGGTATGGATTAGGACACATAGATTTGGCATGTGCCCTGAAACATTGTGAACAAATATACAACAATCTACATGCACTAAAACTACATGTGCCACCGTTAAAATTATTGCAAATCTGTGATTTTCCGAAGAAAATGATGGGACGGCCCAGTTTGTCTCTGGCGTTCTTCCCTGTTCTACCAGCATAGCTAGTGCTGGGTGCCTGACTGTGGTCGTCTGCCGTGCTAGAACAAAAATTTGTGGTGTGTGTAGTAGAAGAGCAGGATACACAAGCCGGTGTTTTAAGCCCTGCAAAGTGTCTGCAGAAAATTTCTGTGTCCAATCTGCTCCAGTTGATACGGGTACCATACTGGGAGAGAGCGCCAGACACTTGGGTGGAAAATGACCTATGGTAGTCGTAAAATGCCGACCCACCATAATTGTTACCAAGGTCCACCAGCTTGTGCATGTAACGATCAAATTCCTCTCTTCTATTAGGGTACACTTCACACATAACATCTCTGAATATACCAAAGGCTAAGACAAATTCAGGGATGGTCAGTTTACGGTTCAACTTGGAGTCTTTAGATCTGACCACCACAGATACATCATCATACATATAAGTCTTGTTCTCTACCACATCCTGGGAGGCAATTAGTAAGGACACTAGGTTGACATCTTTGCCCTCCAGGATGTCTTTCTTGATGTGGGCTGGTATAGTGTGTGCAGGATAAACGTCCTGGGAATCTGACGAGTTTACGTTACCCGTAGCCCGTGGTTCTATTGGTGCCGGTTGTACGTGTCGGGAAGGCCTGCCTTGGTGAGGGCTGTGGTCACCGCCTCGAGGTTAGCCAGTCTGTCGTTGACTTTGCCCATGGAGTTCATAAGCGAGGCCAGCATAGCCTGGATGTCCCCAGAATTGGTGGTGCTGGGGCCTTCTCCTGCTTCCGTATTGCTTGTTGTCGTGTTTAGGAGTTTAAATAACTCCGCTTTCCTTGCTGTAGCCGGGTAGGGAATTTGACGTCTCCTTAATTCTGTTGTAATGCGCGGTATTGTCCAGGATCTGATTGACGCTGGACTGGCCATATCTCCTCTGTGAGAAGGTGTCTCGCACCTAGCTGGGGTACTAGGAAGCGGTAGCTCCTCACCACTTGCATGAGACATGTTTAACTAAAATAAAAGGTAAAATTATTATTTGAACCCGGTGTTTTAGTACTGGCTTGCTAGCTATGCCGTAAGGCGAAACGATTATGCTTAAGTTTGTGACTGGTGAGGCCCTGCTAGTGCCAAGTGGCTTGAGAGGCTCTATGCGTTGGCGCGATGGGATTTTTGTGGCCACCGATCGTAGTGGCAGGATGATGGCCTCTCGGTTAGATTACAAAGAAAAAGGAAAGGGAGTGACTGGTGAGGCCCTTTCTATGAAACTTGCGAGGCGACTAGCTCATGAGTGGCTCGAGGGGTGTATGCCTCAGAGTATGAGACGGGTTTGTTGGCCTCGCGGGACCGCTAATACGAAGCATTATGCAGAGAAGGAGATATAACAGCTATTGGCCCCTACGACCCTATCTGCCAGTACTTATCTATTATATGGGGATCATATTTGGATATACTGTGAGCAGGTGTACGTACCTGAAAGTATAAGTAAAGAATTTTTTAGACAATCCGTTTAGGTGGCAGTAGATACCTGTAACTAAATAGATGGAAACCGTATGAAAATAAAATAAAATGCATGAATCATTCTTATTAATGTTTATTCGTCCTGGAGAGATCAATGGGGTTGATGTTCGTAGGATATCAGAGCGTTCATCTGTAATTATATTATGTGTTTTTTTGTTTTTTATATTATTTTTAAACCGCTATTTATACCTAAATATGTGTTCGTATTTATCGTTTTGGTAATTTGTAGGGTCATAGTTGTACAGCCCTGTAATATGATGATGTATGTATGCCATATGTTTGTAAAAAGTGATTTGATCATGATCTAAGTTTATACGCATAGACAATCATAGTGTTTGCAACCCAATAATCAAACTGACAAGTTGGGCAAACCATGTAACATTCATATTGCAGTTGAAATATGCTTGTATGACCTAATACACCATGACTAACAATGATTAATCGTGCCATGTAGCCCGTTTGTGGTGTGTCTAAAGAAATTGTTATTCCTGATGTATGTAACAGAGAATGACCTTAATGTCAGGATTAGTATGTAATAACTAATATAAGTGATACTTGCATTATTTATATGACCTGTAGGGGTCAGTGTATGTATATATATATATATATATATATCTATATATAATGGCATATATATATATGCTATCATGTGACATGACCTATAGGTGGCAGAGTAGGTATGGACATCCGTAATGCAACAAATGTGTGGAAGAGATTTTCTAGTGATCATATGTGGAGGAAAACGTAACGTGAGATAATACTTGGAATGAATAATCAAAGTGGCCAGTATGAACATGGTGATATGGATACAATGGAAAAATTGGAAATCACGTGACCGGCGTGACTGGAGTTAATCCCCCTTGGAAATGTAATTGGCGCGCGTACCAGCGCTTGCCGGCGTGCGATGGAATGAGATGCAAAGAGGATGTGCTTGGGCGTCATATGGAGGAATTATGGGAAATGTAGTTTCTCGGCGAGTATAATATTGCGGCTGATAATGGTGTGTGATGAGTGACGGCGGTCTGTGACATACATTCTCACAGAGGTATGGGGAATGTATGTGCTTACCCATGGAACACATAACTGCTTAAGCGTGCGGTGTTATATCCTAATTACGAGGTGTTTAACCGGAACGAGTATGCTTATTGTAAGCCCGATACATAGTGATAAATAAAAGCCGGGAAAGTGATTTGTTAGTTAACCGAAGCGTGCCCGTAAAGTGTGTATCTAGCCCGTTACCGATACCGTGGGACTGTTGCCAGGCGGAACGGGTAGGTAAACTTACGTTAGGCGAGTACCTAGGATGTAATCTGCGGCGACGAACAGAAGCTTTAGAAACTGGTCGGACGGAAACCTGCTGCTGGGTTCCTGGACACAGTTTCAGCGTGGACGACCTCGTGGAAAGACGGAAGAAATCCAAAATGGCGACTGGATGAACCTGAAGTGCATTCAGACGCTGACCTTGATCGGTAAGGAGTCAGGTAAGAGGTTTAGTTTATATAGGGGAGTAAGTTAACTTAAGCCCCTCCCACAAATACAGGCCAAACGGCCTTAATACATATATATAAAGTTAAAAAAAATTATCATAAAAAACAAATTAAATCAAAATCCACAGTCTGTGGATCTAGAATCCCTCTCTTTGTCTAAGTTTGGTGGTAATATCCCCCCTCTCACATACAAATTTACCTGTTCAATAACTATCCAAGATAAACTACGTGTTTTGAACTCTGGACACTGGTTGCAATGAGTGGGGACTGAATGGTTCTGAATACCTTTTCTAATATTATTCTGGTGTTCCAAAAAAATGTGTTTTGGCTTTCCGTCCTGTCCTTCCCACATATTGTGCCCCACAACCACAAGTGAGGAGGTACACCACGTTGGTAGATGAACAGGTGACCCCTCCTTTGATCTTAAATTCTTCTTGGGTGGTTGTACTGGTAAAGCCATGAACATGACATGGCATGAATCTACAGGCTTTACATTTTCCACAGGTGTAGAATCCCTTTCTGGTATTTTTAACCTTAATTGTATTAGATAATTGAAATAGACTAGGTATAAGATATGTCGAAAGGTTTCTCCCTTTCCTATAGATGACCTTTGGGACATCTGGTAATTGGTGTCCCAAAAATTCATTGTGTTGTAGAATGGACCAATGTTTTTTAAAGATTTTATTAATAGAGAAGGCTTTAGAATTATACTGCGTATTAAAAGAGCATTCAGACGGATTTTTTGAGTTATGCAGCAATCTGGATTTATCAACCAGAAGATCTGGTTGTTCTACATATAAATCTGCTTGTTCTACATATTTCTGATCAGAACAGTTCCGCCTCAGTCTAGTATACTGGCTCTTTGGAACCCCTGCGAGCCATTTAGGGTGGTGTCCACTGTTAGACTGGATGAAGCTGTTCGTGTCTGTGGGTTTAAAAAATGTTTTAGTTCTAATTTCTGAGCCTTCGATAAAGATCATCAAATCTAACAAATCAATGGTCGTTGGATTAAAGACAGGTGTAAACACCAGTGAAAGTATGTTGTCATTCAAATATAACAGAAAGTTATCTTGTCGTTCATCAGACCCTTTCCAGATTACAAGGATGCCATCAATGTACCGACGCCAGAGCACCAGATTTGCCCCAAATGGATTATTGGCCCAGATGAATGTCCGTTCCCAACAATCCATAAAGATGTTAGCATAACTAGGGGCAAACCTGGTGCCCATTGCCGTACCCTTGACCTGCAGGAAAAATTGTCAGTATGAACCTAATTGCTTCAAGTAAAAATGACCTAAAACTCTGGTCTAAGGTCTCATCTCCCTCAAGATTATTCCTCACAGCTTCCAAACCTTGATTGTGGTCCATCACTGAATATAGAGAACTCACATCTAGTGTTATCCGGATGTAGTCTCTATGCCATTCAATTGAATCTAGTTCATGTAATAGATGTTTAGTATCTTTTAAATAAGACTTAGCGGATTGAGCGGATTTTTGTAATGAATGGTCTATAAATTGAGACATTTTGGATGTCAGGGAATCAATTCCACTTATTATTTGTCTTCCGGGGGGTTCGTTTTCGACTTATGTACTTTTGGAAGAAAGTAAAAAGTTGGGATTCTAGGATGTTCTTGAAAGAGGAACTGATAGATATTAGTATCAATTACATTTGTCAAAGCCTTTTCCAATAAAATTTTTAGTTCACTCTTAAAAGATACATTAGGATTGTTAATAAGTTTGATGTATGTAGTATTGTCCCCTAACAATCTATATGCCTCCCCTAAATAGAAGTCTGTAGACATAACCACTATGCCACCCCCTTTGTCTGCATTTTTAATAACTATGTCTTCTTTTTTTTTTAATTGGTTGAGGGTTTGCATCTTTTTTTTTAGTCATGTTATTACAAACCTCTTTTTTGCTGGTTAGTTTTTCTAGATCCTTCATCACCATTTTATTAAAGACTTCAATTTGGCTGCCTTTATAATAAAGGCAAAAAGTGGATCGTGGTTTAAATTTCATGAGGGGATCTGGTTCATATTAAGCATCATTTTCTGACCAAACGGTTCTTCTAATTCTTTTTTAATAAAAAATCTTTTTATGCTAAGTTTTCTGATGAACTTCTGCAGGTCTATATAAACATGGAATGGGTCTGGGGATGTTAGATGTATATTTAAGGCCTTTTTTTCAATATTAGGCATTCCTGTTCAGTAAGATGTACCTTGGAGATGTTAAATATCCCCATGGATTCCTCTTTGTTATATTGTTCAATATCTGTTTCCCTCTCTGGACTTATTCTCCTCCTCTTCCCTGGAGTATCCTGGTCTATTAGTGGGGTTATCACAAAAATGATGTATGTTCTATATTTTATGTTTAAAAAATGTCAGATGATCGTAAGCACAAAGGAAAATTACTATATATTTATAGGAATTTTGTAATTATATAGGTTGTTTTAAGATTATGTTTAATAAATGTCTAATATCTTGTCATTTTATTTTTAATGTCTGGGATTATTTGACCCACATGAGGATCGTACAGGGACGAAGTGGAACGCATGTGCGTTCCAGCTACATATAGAACTACCGCAGAGCTTGTCTTAAGGACGAAGTGAGAATATTTCCGGATTGGTGGCACGCATATGCGTTTTCCCTTCCACAAAACTTTCTATCAATGTGCTTTGATACAGCACTTTGGGAACATCCAACTTCCTTCGCAATTACCTTTTGAGGCTTTCCCCTCCTTATGGAGGGTGTCAATGATGGTTTTCTGCACAACTGCACAGGTCAGCAGTCTTCCCCATGATTGTGATTCCTACTGAACCAGACTGAGAGACCATTTAAAGGCTCAGAAACCCTTTGCAAGTGTTATGGCTTATTTAGCTGATTGGAGTGGGACACTGTGAGCCTAGAATATTGCACCTTTTCACAATATTCTAATTTACTGAGATTGTGGATTTGGGTTTTTCATGAGCTGTAAGCCATAATCATCGCACTTGTGACAAATCACGGCTTGAACTATCTTGCTTTGCATGTAATGCGTCTGTCTTAAATATTAGTTTCCCCTTTTACGTTGCATTACTGAAATAAATGAACTTTTGCACGATATTCAAATTTTTCGAGTATCACCTGTATAATTTCTAATTATTACTGGTAATGTATAGGTTAATTCATTTTAAGGTTAATGCAGTTCATAAATGAAAAGAAAAAGTCCACTAGAAGTCAGTATGATGTAGCATAGCCTTGACGATGTTTATGCATTCTTGTTGTTGTATTAAGCTAAAAAATTATGGTGTAAGTTAGAACTATGCAGCATGTTATGAACTGAAAGTAGGTGAGAGGTTATTAATTAAACATGGTACAGTTTAAGAATTACAATTTAGCAATGTATAGTAACGTACAATTGCCCATCACACCCTCCTGATTAAACTGAGGGTTTCTTTAAAGAACATCTTTTTTTTTTGCCTGGCACCCCCTCACTCATGTAAGGGAGGAGACTGTGGTAAAAAAGGCACAGTTGGACGTACAGGAAGTACAGGTATGAAACATTTACAGTCATGTGTGCTTGTGTGATTGCACGTTACATTAACCGGATTAGTATGTAAGTAATAAACTTCACCTGGTATATAATTCATTGTATCATTTTGAGTAAACTCTTTTCTTATCAGTATGCCAAATCCCACCCCAGCAGATTTTATCTCGTGTACATACTATAACTGATGTGATCCCATATTTACCATGAGAGACCATGTGAATATAACCAATATCTTTTTGATTAGTTTTTAACTGAAAAAATATCTTTAGCTTGATCCATACATTTGATGGATGGTTGGTTGTAGCGAGTCAATAGAGATGTTGTTTGACAAATAGATTTAAGAAGGTCATAAAGTTCCTGGGTAGAATATTCTCTGTAGGATCCTGAAAGGAGCATAATGTCAGTCATCAATTGCCATTTGTAATTCAGTTTTCTGAGGTACATTGCTGGTGGTGTTGAAACATCCGTATACTGAGCTAGAATTGGTAGTAGATACTCTTTCAACATCATTGATTGCCTTAGTGGTGGTGTCAACTTTGGACTTGGCATTTGTCTTTGCATGTTTCTTCTTCCGTGATATATCTTTACACCTCCTATAATGTGTATAAATTGGATATACGTAAAGATAATTATTCTAATATTTTTTTTTATAAAAACAAAACCTTTTTTAGGTCTAAAGATATATGCGTTATTGGAATCCGCAAAATATCTATGGCATATCCTACATTGATATTTAAAATTATCTTGTCCTGGTACAATTTCTTTAAAAGTTAAGATCGCTCTTTTATGCAAGATTTCTCTAGAATTTTTTGGTATAGATAATTGAAAACAGGTAATGAATTTATTCATGTTTCTTTGCCCTGTGAGGAAGAAGGCAAATTATTCTCCAAGTTACAATTAGTAAAAATATAACTATAATTATCATTATTGGTTTAAAATACCCCAAAATATTAAACCCTGTTCCTCTTACTGCTTTAACAATATTTGCTAAAGAATCAGAAATGCTTTGAACAATTTTACCAATTGAAGGAAAAATAGGAGTCAAAATCTTACCAAGTTCTTTCAGCCAATATGGGAAATCTCTCTCTTGGTTCTAGATATGAAGAAGGGAAAGCCTAACCCTTATTAATATATCTTCCACTTGCTCGTGGGTGGAGCTTAAGGTTATTTTGAATTGTTGCAAGTGAGACAAGAAAGCACTCGTATATAGAAGTTTTAAAGATATTGGGGGTATATGTATCAGAACTATGCCTGTCAGTTTATAATCTTGTAAAGCAGGTGTTACCCTGTATTGCAATTAGCACTGTCCTCTAGGGTATAAAACATGTGCAGTCTTTTGGTTTTAACATCAATCAAGGCAATTTATTGAAAATCCACTCGAGAGAGAAGCAATACAAAAGTAACAATAATATAACTGAATTCCCTTGAAATTAAATACTAGCTCATCTGAGCACTTACTGACATTTTAGTCCCTATCAAGGGTTAAACTTAACAAAACACAGGTTCCGCCAAACTTGTTTTGTCTTTTTTCTGCACTCCAGTGCTCAGTCATCTTGCTGCTTCCAACCTCCAAAGTAGAAACCAAAAATCTCCCTTAGCTGCTTAGAAGGGATGGGTTTATTCCCACTGCTGCAGCTGAGCAATGGGTTGGAAACAGCCTGCATTCCTGGCCTGGACCTTATGTCTCCCAATTGCTTGTAAACTGAGAAGTGGAGCACCGGCCTGCCTTACTCTCCAAATACTCCACTCTCAACATTATTTCATCTTGCATGCCACACATACTCCCCCTGGGGTTAAATGTCATATGCTTCTCTAGAATTCTAGGGGAAATATAGACTCCTTCACTGATCACACTATGCACTTTATCACAGAGGTTTTAACAATCTTCCATAACAATAAATATCATGATCTGTAGTTACAATTAATGACTATAGAGCAGGTAACTTGCAGTGTGAATAAGAACCATTTTTTAAAGATTCAAAGTACAATGATCATTTCCTACTGGTTCGATATTAATTAAGCAATCACTAGATGTGGCTGGCTTTCCACAAGGAGCCTGAATATTTATTTCTTCACATATTACATAACGTTTCTCTTGGCATCTAGAAATAGATAAAATATTTGATAAAAATCTGGAATATCCTGAAAGGTGACTCAACTGATAGTCCATATATCGTTATTTTTACATTTGTCTTTATTTTTATTTTTATTCTAAAGGGCATATTTGCATTGTATTTTATTTGACTCTAAAGGACTATTTATGCTCATAACGCACTGTCTAGTTAGGACTTCTATGATAAAAGGCTGTAGCCAACTAAGCGTCCAGAGCCCCACGCGCGCCAGGGGCTCTGAACGCTTAGTCGGCTACACTTGTATCAACACAGCCGCGATCTTGCCAGCGAAATTGCTCTTCTATCTAGGCATCCGTTTTTTAGTCCTGTCTTCTACCTACTAGCTTGCTATGGGGGGTTATAGAGGCAGTACAGGCGTTTTATAAGGGGTGCCCTCGAAGGCACTTAGATCTTTACTAACAAACCAGCGCTAGGACTGCTATAGTCTATATACTTTTGATGTAGAATTATTAAAATCTTTACTGAACCTGTATTGAATTATTGTACTAACTCCATTTTTAATCTCACACTGTGACAGAACTCTCCATTTTGTTCACCTTACATGACAGTATTCAATATAATGAATAAGAGATTGTATTTTCTCTCTCTAAGGACATAACTAGCCCCGGAGTTAGCGGATCTCCGTTGACTTGCAACATAGTATAATCCAAGGCCAGGAGAACAGCGACTAAATGAAATGTTTTATTCATAAAAGAACCTTGGACCAGGCCACGAGACTGACATCACTAACTACGTAAAATGATGCCCAAGCCCCCCCTTTCCACCGAGTAAGCCTCGTGCTAAAGAGCAATGGCGACGACATCCCATGATGGGAGGGTGCCTCACTAGTCACTCAAATCTCTGAGCCAATTAATAATATTAATGGGTGGACACTGACATAGCCACTTAACATTTAACCCAATTAATGATGTTTATTTGTTATTATCTGATATTCAATGATGATGTCATTTTGCATATAAAAAGGCCTGCGTGCCCGCTTTTTAACTAGATGCTAATAAATTTCCTGAAGTGTTTTTAACCTGAACTGCATGTGTCAGTGTGAACTTACTTCTGCGTATACGCAATTTATTCATCTCAGATTTGGACAGGAACAGATAGACTTTTAAACATTTTTGTTTATTTCTAAATTAATCTACATCAATCTGGCGTCCATCCAACGTGGGGCATCGGGCTATGGCCTCCGGCCGGTAAGCCGTCCTAAGGAAGACGCTGTTGGACGGGGGAATCGGGGGGGAAGGAAGAGAGACTGATCACCTCTGAGTACACGGTAGAGACTTCTGCAGGAGCCACCGGTATGTTCCAGCCCCTTTGATTGACCCGTCCACGTGTCTGTGACTGCTTCCCGGGAGGGCAAATGCAGGTAAACAAATGTTACCCATTTGTTTACCTGCATTTAGTCTATCTGTTGCCTGGGTGTGCTTGGACAGGAACAGATAGACTTTTAAACATTTTTGTTTATTTCTAAATTAATCTACATCAATCTGGCGCCCCACGTTGGGCGCCAATTGTAGTAGATTAATTTAGAAATAAACAAAAATGTTTAAAAGTCTATCTGTTGCCTGGGTGTGCTTGGACAGGAACAGATAGACTTTTAAACATTTTTGTTTATTTCTAAATTAATCTACTACAATATACTTACCTGGCTGGGGAGATACCATGATCACGAAGGTGGTTCTCCCAGGGCGAGGCTCACCCATTGCACTTCGGGTGTACTAGTGGTATATGTTTTGTTCTTTCCCTCTTTTGGGATAAAGGGGGGTGGACCCGTGGGTGGTTGCCTGGGGGTCTTCTGTTGCCTGTTTTTACCCCTTTTTAGGAGTCACTTGGCCCAGACTGTTGGGAAAAAAGGGGGGGTGGACCTGTGGGGATTTTCCAAAGGGGTCCTGTTTTCCTGTTTACTTCTTTTAGGTACTGTCTAGCTAACAGTAGTAAGGAAAAAGAAGGGTTGGGGGATCTGTGGAGGGGACTTGCCTCCTGGGGTTTCCCGGTTACGTCACTTTGATATTCTAGCTAGCCTCATTGTGTACGTTGCTCTGCTTGCAGAGGTTATGGTACCCTCCAGCTTCGAGCGCTGAGGCTGGTGGCATTCCAATTTATTTGTGGTGTGTGGATTCGGGCAGGCATTGTTGTCTCCATCACCACGGGGTAGTGTGACTTGTGGGTGGGTCCATAGGGAGCACTACGGGAGTGAGGATAGAGGTGGCCACACTTAGTGGACTGCTGTAACGAGGGAGGCATATGGATTTCGGGCCGGTGTTAGTCGTTATCCTTGGCCGCTGGTAGTGAAACTTACGAAAGTTGTTCTCCGAGCGGGGACACTACGAGATTGAGGGAGGTGGCCTTGGTGGCCACAAGAGTAAAGGAAAGGGATTACTGTTGATGCATGCACTGTATTTCAATTGAAATGTTGTATTAAATGTTGTCTTAAGTGTGGAGTCATTCAAACTCCTGGGTCTGTCTCTACTTTCACTGTTTACTTTTACTTTACTTCCTGTACTATTTACACTATCCACTCCTATTTCTCTTGAAAGAGAAGTGATTGGTCACACACTTCTCACCCCGCTCCAATCCGTGGTTACCATCGAGGGTACACGGATTCAGTGACTGGTCTACGTTTTGGGAAGACGCACTGGGAGGGACCCACCCTTCCTAGTGGCAGTCGAGCATTGTAGACGTTCTGTTTCATTTTCCTTTACCTATACTTGGGACGCTTTGTATAGGGGGATATGGGACAGGAAACGAGTAAGCCCGCTAGGGGCTGGCTCGCGTGTGATTTAGTTGAAGATAGAGAAGGTGAAGAACTGGTTAAAAATGTTGCAAAGATTGTTAAAGTGTGTAAAATTGCTGTGCCTTCATGTGGTAGATTACAACCAGAAAGTTGGCGTAGATTACTGACAGAGAAGAAAGGCAAGCTTACAGATAATGATTTATTGCGTACTGCTGAAGCATGGTACAGAGTAGAAAGGCTATCCAGCAGGAGGGTTGGGTAGAGGAAGAGATAAATCATAAAGGGTTAAGAACTGTATGTATATCATAATAATTGTGTTACTGGGAAGTTATCCACTTCCATCATCCTGTCAGTAATGACCGAAATGTAGCTGACCATGGTCACCATCCCACCCCAATCTTAAAACGCTGTGGGGTTTTTGTATTTTGTGTTAGCCATTACCCTGGTAGAGGGTGGGGGTTTAAATGAAATGTTGTGTTTTTGTGTCTCTTTGCTTTGTAATGTAATTATCCTTCTGTCTTGTTACTGTACAGCGTTGACATGGTTAAATTCGTGCTGGCAGGCGGTCTCTCTCTTGTTCCACTCAAATCCCCCTCTGCTAAAACACCCCCCCCTCCCCTCGCTTCTGTGAGACGCGGGGGGGGGAGGGGGCGGAGGGGGGTGGTGACATGCTTGCGATTTAGGTCTGTCTCTTCGGTGTCCTGTAGAGTTATTCAGAAGCTACTGATAAGATTTTAGCAATGGAATTCTTGCTAGAAAATATTCTAATTGTGTATTTTGTTATCTCAATAGAAATTGATAGGATGGTTAGGGAGTGAATCTGATGCAGGAATAGAAGTTATTAAGTTAGTATATGTTTCTAGAGACAGCTTTGTGGGCTGTTAGATGTATAATATTCACAACTGTCTTATTTAATCCGTCAAGTCTGTCCACAGTTCAGATTTTCATTTTGCAGAACAGAATGTTGCTTCTCTGACTTATTTTAATAGTTTTAATATAGTGTATTGTTGAAAGTGCATCAGCCACCACCTTAAAGATGGCGCCTAGTACAGAAGGAGGTTGACCCTGCCAGTCCCGTGACCTATCTACAGTCACGGTTGCTTCTAAAGTAACGTCACTTCCGCCCTTACCATGCCCACACCTCCTGTCTTCCTTTCCCACACCTATCATGGACGTCATCTCACTTCCTCCCTTGCTGTCATTTCCTTCCCCGCCCCTGTCATGGCTGCCTCCATCATGAGGCCTACCCCTATTATGCTCGTCCTATTTAGAGACATGTTGTTTTCCTTACACTCTACATATTATGAACAGAAACATTATAATTACTAAAACAATCATGCCATTTGTTTCCCTGTATCAACAATGTGTCCGTGATATAAAAAAAAAGAAGGTTGCTAAAATGTAATTTGCAAATGTGGTGTGACCTACAAATGAGATCTGTTGGACACGAATATAAGAGCATAACAGCTGATTATCCAGCTTCATCTTACAACAAGGGAAATAGCTAAATAATGCAAGTTATTTTAAACATTGTATCTTTACTTAATCGAATCTTGCTAGTTACAGATCGTATGTTTACAGTAACATCCTTTACGTTAAATGATGGTTTAGCATTAGAAGGGTTTGTGACATGTTTTATTAACCCAGCCACTACTGGTTGTTCATTTTAGTTACAGGGTGGTATAATTGTTGTAGTCTAATTGATATAAATGATAGTACCGCAATAGTTAACGTTTTATCCAAAGACATATAGGAACTTTACTTCACTTACTATTAACCATTATTTATAATGATAGACATGTTCAGACTGCAAAAAGCTATGGCTAATGACATAGAAAGGGGTTTGAGTCAGTAACAGCCCATACAGAGGAGAGCAAACCCGCTGATGCTTAATGCCCCTGCCATGGCAGTGTCTACAGGGAACAAGGGGGGCCACTTGCCACTGTGACTTTACCCATTGAAGGACGAGAAACCACATTTTTAGTTGACACAGGTGCAGCCCGAAGTGTTCTGAGAGAACAAGACCTGCCAGATGCCTCATTCCTATCAGAAATAGATGTCTCTTGTGTTGGAGTGGATGGCCAACCAAGGCACAGTCCTTTAACAACCCCATTGCGAGTTGGCAATTACCCAAACTTGCTTGCTCGATTTGTAGTATCCTCCACATGCCCAATTAACCTGTTAGGTGCTGATGTCCTCTCACGCCTGCAGGCATCTATCACCTTCACCCCAGAAGGTCAAGTAGAATTGTCTACTCCCCTATCTGAATCAGATACCTCAGTTTTGTGCTCCCTACCTCTAGTGCTGCATTTAGATGAACCCCGTGGGGAAGCAAAAGAGCAGAGGTCCAATTTTTCGGATATCATCAAAACAAAGGTACCTGCAAAATTATGGTCCAAAGGCCCAGAAGACATAGGTCATCTGAGAGTTCCACCTGTGGTGGTAAAGCTCATTCCAGGAGCAAAATTACCAAGAAAACCACAATATCCTCTAAAGCCAGCTCAGGCTGCAGCTATTTCAATTCAAATCAAAGCACTTTTGGAGAAAGGTGCTCTTGTGAAGTGTGAATCAAAATGCAACACCCCATTATTTCCTGTGAAGAAGAAAACACCAAAAGGGGAACCAGAGAAGTACAGAATGGTCCAGGACCTCAGAGCTGTCAATGAAGCAACTGTCCTGGACACCCCTATTGTACCAAACCCCCACACTCTGCTATCTGGAGTTCCACCATCTGCAAAATACTTCACAGTCATTGACCTGGCTAATGCCTTCTTCAGTGTTCCACTGGATCCGACTTGCCAATACCTGTTTGCTTTCACTCATGAAATGCAACAGTATACATGGACTGTCATGCCCCAAGGGGCACAAAATTCTCCAAGTCAATTTGCTAAAGCCATGTGCTCCATCCTGGACCCATGGCAAACAGACCACCCAGAAGTTGTCCTACTTTAGTATGTGGATGATCTCCTACTTTGTGGGGATGACATACCTACAACAGAAGACTGTTCTATTAGTCTCCTTTGCTACCTAGCAGAACAAGGATGCAAAGCTTCACGTCTCAAGCTGCAATTCTGTCAGCCAACAGTAATCTTTCTTGGACATTGCCTATCTCAAGGCACCAGACATCTCACTCGGGACCGAGTCAGAGCCGTACTGGAGATTCCACCTCCAAGAACCACAAAATCTCTCCATGTTTTTTTAGGCCTCATTTCCTATTGCAGAGCATGGATCCCAGAAGCCTCTCTGCTTATGCAGCCACTCTATGATGCACTCAAGTCAGACCCATTCTGCCTGACAAATGAAGCACTGGACAATTTTAAAATTCTGAAACGTACCATTGCATCTGCTCCTGCTCTGGGCCTACCAGAATACACCAAACCCTTCAAATTATTTGTCTCTGAAAGACAAGGCCACGCCACAGGAGTGCTTACCCAAACAAATGAGTTAAGAGGCCGCCAAAGGCCTATTGGGTTTTTCTCCTGTCAGCTGGATATCGTGGCCAGAGGGGCCCCTTCATGCCTTAGGGCTGTTTTTGCTGCAAGAGAACTTATTGAGAAAACTGCAGACCTGGTCCTTGGTCATCCTCTGGTCGTATTGGCACCTCATGACATTTCTGCCATTATCAACCAAGTCCAGCTCAAACATGTGTCTCCTGCCAGACACCTGCGTTTACAGTGTCACCTCCTGCTACCTGACAACATCACCATACAAAGGTGTCAAGTTCTTAATCCGTCCACTCTTCTTCCACTCCCTGAGGGGGGTATCCACTATGGGTTTATCATGGACGAAACCTATATTTTTCTCCTCACTGGAACCATCAAGAGGATGCATCCTGATTTAACCTTTTATAAAGAACAAAAACCTCTCTGTGAGGGTCCAGGATATGCCTTCTGTACCACATGGTACAAGCCGAACATCTCTCCTGAACCTTGCTATGAAGATGAACTCTATCACTGGGTGGAGGTGAAACTCACTGCTCACGACTTCTATTGTGATTCTGAAGGCAATAGCATGGTCTTGATCGAACTACCTTCAGAACTCAAGTATTTATACCGTCATTGGGATACTGCTATTCCACATGTC